GGGGAGGTTTATTTTAAGCATTATACAAAGCATTAACATATGACTTCTTATTTTTTAGAAAAAATTATCTACAATAATTCCAACTTTACCGGACGACTTGTTCTTTTAAAAAATAAGTAGTACATTAAGACTCCGTATAGTGTGTAAAATGTTAAACCCACGACTCCATATATATTTATTTTATTTCTTACCAATTTCTGTTTAATTTCTATTGATTACATTATTTATTTGATTAATTTTGTATTGTTTTAGTTATTTTTCTCATTTTCATTATTTTTTATATCTAATTTTTTTCTAAGGTAATAATAATCTTTAAAAAAGAAAAAGAAATGGAGGTTGAAAGTAATTCAAAAAATTTAAATAAAAATTTCAAAAAAAATTAAAAAACAAAAATTCATCAAAAATAATCCCAACTTTCATTTTGTTGCCTAAAACGGGCATTTCCGTTGTCCCCCCGTTAGAAACTTAACGGCGACCCAAAACTGACAAATTTCAGTAAAGTTGGGATTATTATGCATCACAGTGAAAGGTGGGATTATTTTTGAAAGACCGAGTAAAGTTGGGATTAATAATAATAATAATAATAACAATAATAATAATAATTCATTTGTCTCATAGTAATAATAATACTAATAATATTAATAATTTTATTAATTATATTTTAAATTATAATATTAATTAATATCCAGGTGTACGTAACATTAAGTAAAGTAATGTGATTTAACAAAATAGTATTTATTATTTAATTGTTGACAAAATATTAATATTATTTTTATATTTAGCTTGATCTGATTTGATTGAATCTAATCTGATTTTAATGTGATCTGATCTGAATGGATCGTTTGAATAGATCTGATCTAATTTTTATATGAATAAGTAAGAAGTAGAAAAAGTACCGAATGGATTTCAAGCACCCCTTTAAAACATTTCTTTAGCATAGGAGGAGCTTGTGTCTCTTCTGGAAGATTATGGTACAAATTTCAAAATTTTTGAAATAAAGACTTAAAAAAGCTCAAAAAAATATTCACATCATTCTTTTAGTCAACAATATGCTCATTATAATAGTCACTTTCATATAAATAATTATAATAGTACTACATGATAATTTTAAAATTCTTAATTTTGAATCAAGAATCATAAATAAAAATTTTGTAAATATCAAGAATATACAAGTGTTTTGAGCTTTAATTTAGTTCTAATGACATTTACAACCTCTTGTGGATGTCATTTCACTCATATGTGTAAAATTAGTTCATTTTCTAATCAATTGTGGTAGTTCATCAATTTTGGGTTATGCTTACTTTTTTTTAACTTTTTAAGTATATTTGAGTTAAAGTTAAAATCTCCATCTGAAAGCATCCAAACAAAGTTCAAGGTAAATAAAAATTCGAATAAATATCAATAGGGAACTCAAACACTTTTGAAATATAAGATTTGAGAAAACGTATTACGTGGCGGGTTGACAGATTTGCAGGGGGGTGCAAACGGCGTTTCGCGATAGATTTGCTAGTGGGAGGTGTTGCAGCGGCGCCGCAATGAGTGGGGCGACAGATGTATTGCACGTGGGTTAATTTGACGGTGGCACTTCAATATGGTGAGGGTGGTGGCCAGAGAGAGAGACGATGAAATATACAATAATTTTGAGTATGTAAGTTAGGGACTTCTTATTTTGGATACATGCCTAATGATTTAGTCCCATTTAAGGGATTTTCTTTAATAAATAATACGGAGTATCAAGTCTGAAAATATCAAGAATATACAAGTGTTGAGCTTTAATTTAGTTCTAATTTTTCTTGATATTTACAACCTTATTTGGATGTCATTTCACTCATATCTGTCAAATTAGCTTGTTTTCGAATGAATTGTGGTAATCCATCAATTTTGGGTTATGCTTAATTTTTCTTTACTAATTTTAAGATTCCGTTTGGTACACAGAATTCAAACTAAGGAATAAAAATTTGAGACAGTAATTCTAATTCTGTTATTTGATAGTACAAAAATATATGATTTTGGAACTGGTAGTGCCAAAAATGTATTAAATTGGAGAACTCAATTCCTTCAAAATAAATTACATAAAATTTCAATTTTCAATTCAATTCCAATTTCTACAATTCCGTATATCAAACGAACCCTAAGGCCCCGTTTGGTACACGGAATTCAAATTATGGAATTGGAATTGAGGACTTCAATTCCAATTCTCATGTTTGGTAGCACAAAAATTATGTGGATTTGGAATTGGTAGTGCAAAAAATGAATTGGAATGGGTGAATTTAATTCTATAGAATTGAATCCCATAAAATTTTAATTACAATTCAATTTCAATTCCATCAATTTCTTGTATCAAATGGACTCTAAGTATATTTGGTTTAAAATTAGAATTGATCCCGGTCAAATACCAGGCCCAAAATAAACGGCCCATCCCTTTTTACAAAACAAGACTAGGCGCTGACCGGAGGACCTTCGTTTGACCTCCACATCCGGCGATTTCAAGCGCCTGGTACTCTGTTAGACGCTAGAGGGAGACGCGAGAGGCGGGGGCGAGACCAGGTTTTTTTATCGGAGAACCCACCGCCACCAGATTTCTCCGGCGAGTGACACGGCACGCACATCACCGCACCGAAAATCAGAACCAGGTATTCAATCATTGTAACGATTCAACACAGTCCAATCTCAACCTTCGGTAACAGTCCCTATTCGATCATTTCGAAGCTCATATTTGAATTTGTGGTCTAGAGATTGTCTATGGGTAGTTTCTGAATCTGATTGTGTTGTATTGCTGGATTTATTGCTCGTTGTCACCGTTCATATTCGAAATTGCAATTTCAGTCTGGATTTGAGCTCGAAATTGATAATACATTGTTTGGAATGATCAGTGCTGAGTTTGTGATGGGTTATTGTCATTTCGTGATGATGAGGTCTGAATAATTTGTTCGTGTTTGATTCAATTAGGGTTAATTCCTTAACTAATGCATGTGTTTTGAGTGCTAGACTGTCCTATGGCTTGGTTACGTGATTGTCACTGGATCTAGACACTTTATTTGCTGTCAAACCTGTCACAAAGGCCTACGGCCTATGAACTTGATTTTTGGCAAACTCTTTTAAATCCTTTAACGTGCTGAGAATTATAGCTACCTGGTTGGTTGTTCATCTCAGGGAAAATGATGTTCTCTGTATTCATTGCATTTCTTAGTTGATTCCTCTAGCCTCATTCTAGGGAAGCAGCTTAGAAATAGAGTTTGTTGGGTGCTGGGCCTAGTAGACTACTTATTTGTGAATTGGGACTAAGTGTATGTCTGCTAGGGGTGCGTATTGGTCTTCAGTTTGCTCAAGTATAGCAAGGCTAAATACTTTCTTTGACTGCTTGTGTTTGGTTGAGTGTCTAACCATGATTGAATCAAACATGTTCCCGCTCTCAGCTCTCTCTTCTGTGTTTCCTGCTATCTGATTCATCTTTCTTCTTTTATTTCATAGTGTAGTTGTTTTCTTTATTCAATAGTTTAGTCTCCAAATCTGCATCCCCCCTTGTGTGCGTGTGTTGTGTGATTAGCAGCTTAAAATAAAGAAAACATTCTCCCGGTAGAAGAATGACCATACTTGCCACTATATTGTTCTTTTTTTATTAGTGTAGTTAGAAAATAGGTTAATTTGTAGCCAACTGACAATTGGCCAACAAATTTTGGCTCCGTTGCCGGGGAGAGCTTTCTTTCATTGTTTTTAGTTTCTGAGTTTTATTCTGAAAAATCCAAAAAAAGTGTTACTTTTTGTGCTAAGCATTTGCACTGTTTGATAGAATTTGCAAAGTTTTGTTTGACTGTATGATTGAGGGTTGACTTGAGAACAACAGGAACAGAAATTCAGATTTGATCTGTGCACTTTTAGTGCAAAGTTTAGCTTAAAATTGAGGTTTGATCCTTCCCTTTTGTTTTCAATCCATTCAATGTATCATGACATCATATGGTTACCTTGAAACATCACAAATTGAGCTCTCTTCATTCCAAATATCCATGTTGAATGTCATGCTTAAAAAGATTTTGGATGAGAGAATGATAGGTCTTAAGTGTGGGGGTTGTGGGTTAGAAGGATTGCTCTTCAAGCTTGCTCTTATGTGCAACGATGTGATTTGAATGCTGGTTTTTATCATCAAACTCCTCAGTTTTGGATTAGGTGTAATGTCCACACCCTCCCCAATTTTTGCTTTTGCGGAATCTACTGGGTTTTGTTATTCTCTAGTGTAAGTAGATGATAGATAATAAAAAATTATGTGTATCTTGATTTCAATAGTTATTTAAGTGGCAGGTATTAGCTTTGCAAATTTGAACATAACTGCATCAATGAATCATGTCGAAACATGTTCATTTTCTAGAAATTGAACTAAATAGATAAAGTAGTGTCTTTCAACTTCAAGCCAGACAGCAAGTTCCCAAGCGGGCCCTAAGTTCCCAAGTTTTTTGAATATTAAATCATTTTTGAGAAAACATTTCAACTTCAAGCCAAACAGCAACTGATTTTTGAATATTAAATCATTTTTGAGAAAACATTTTCCAAGTTCCCAAGCAAGCCCTAAGATTTCTTTGCCTCAGATGTTTTAAATTTTAACACACATTTATGCTTAATTGTAGGTCATCAATTTCTTTTGCTCAAAACATTTCTTTTCAACTTTTATGGTCTGACGTTCTTATTATTTGATATTAGGACTCATCAATGCATCTCTTTTGCAGGGGAGAAACTAAGGGTCTTACAAGGTTTATCAGGTGTCTAGTGATGACATCATCATCTTCTAGATTGCTCCATGGTAAGAGAAATGGCACTTTTAATTGCCAGATTCTTTGCCGTTGCTCTTGCAGTTTTTTATGGCGTGTTTGGATGGAGAGATTAGGAAGGGATGGGCATTTGAAGGGCTAAGTCTACATTTTGACGTTTTATTTATGTTTGATTTTTTTAAATCATTTAATGAAGGAATAGCTCAATAGGTGATCATATTCATTTCAACCATCATTTGTTCGCTTGAGAAGCATTATATTCTTCAAGATATAGACATAATCCTCAACCCTCCCTCCCTCACCCACCCACTAACACTCCCAAGTTCCCAATTCGTCCATCCAAACACGCCGTTCTCAATGATTCGTTCTCTTTTTGGTTTTCACTAATTATATACATGCTTATTACTTACGGTTTTTATATGTGTGACATAACTACTTTAGCGGGCTACTCATTATTGGGGAACCTCCGTAACAACTCTGCTGGGTTCATGAGAGCATCACAAGAGATTATATCAAATGATCTATACACACAGGCAAGTCTGCCTTATTGTTGCATGATTGTTGGGGTTTTGTGTGTTCATTGCTAGTGCTGATAATTGGCAGAAACTTAAAATAACATTAGCACTTGGGTATGTGGGTTGGGTTCCGTTTTGACCCAAGGCCCAAAATGGAACCAAAGGAAAGTCTGGGTGTTATTCTTTGGGCATTGAAAATCCAAATCCCTAAACTTTCGATTATTAGGGCCATGTTCTGTCAAGTTTTGGTACACCAAACTAGATTTTTTAAATACCTTTAGTCTACCACAAATTCAAACATTTTTTTAGTAAATAACCAGAAATTGAGTGAAAGTTCTCCGCCGGATCCATAATTCCATGCAAATCATTGTGCTGTTCTGTAATTGATACAAAGGCATAAAAAATGAAAAAAATGAAGAGTGGTCGTCTCTTACTCCCTCTTTTTCGGTAGCGCTTCCTCTTTCACTTTTTTCTCTTTCACCAAAACATTTCCAATATCTATTAAAAAACTACTTTTACCCCCTATTAATTCTTACCTTACCTATCACATCATACTTTTTCACTAATAATCTATCGATCACATCTTACTTTTACTCATCAAATCAAGGGCAAAATTGAAAAGTCAACTACAAATATGCACTCCTTATTCCTCTTATTAGTCAAAATAGAAATCGTTTCGGTGAACGGAGGGAGTAAGAAAAACCTTTTTACTTTTGATTAGGGGTAAACCGAAAAGGTCTGCCTACACACAACTTTTCCTGGACCCTACTTTTTGTGGGATTTGCACTAGGCTTGTTGTTGTTATGAGTTAAATTGCTTGATTATGATGTATACTTCAGCAAATGAGGACATTCATACAAATGAGGACCAGCCTTAAAGTGGTGGACAATTCAGGCGCAAAGAGAGTGATGTGCATACAAGCTTTGAAGGGAAAGAAAGGGGCGAGGTTGGGCGACACGATAGTTTGCTCGGTCAAGGAAGCACAGGCAGGCGGGAAAGTGAAGAAAGGAGAAGTCCATTACGGCGTGGTTGTCCGTGCCGCAATGCCGAGGGGCCGTTGCGACGGGAGTGAGGTCAAGTTCGACGACAACGCCGTCGTTCTTATCAATAAGCAAGGCGAGCCAATCGGGACCCGCGTTATGGGTCCGGTCCCGCATGAGCTCAGGAGAAAGAAGCACCTCAAGATTCTCAGCCTTGCCCAACATATTGTGTGATGAAGAGAGAAAGAAGGGGATGATGCTCTGTCTTCTGCTGTTTGCTCTTTTAAGGTCTGTGCTGAATGAAAACACTTGTTTCCATTTCCTTGTGTTGTTATTATTATTATTTATTTTTATTTTTTTGAACTATCCTTGTGTTATAAATTATTATTATTATTAATTCAGATGTACTTGGCTTGGGGGTTAAAATGGTTGGGTTCTGTTACAATAGTTACGTGACGCTTTACTCTTATAAAATGTGAAAAGGGAGTATGTGCGGAGTAAAAATATTGAAATACGAGTACTTGTTATGCCTTTTGTGTGGAGATTAAGGAGGCCTATGCCCTATAGTGTATCTCTCTTTTCCTGTTTGTGTCAAATTAGGCCTGTAGTGTATCTCTCTCTAATTCATTTACACTTTTTGAATAATGTGTAAAATCAATTTTTTTCTTGAAAAAAAATTACACTATCTATAAATTGCAATAGAAATAGAAAAATACTCCTTCCGTCCCTGAGTATTTGTCTAATATTTCTTTTTGGGCCGTCCTGCAGTATTTGTCTACTTTTCTTTTCAAGTAAGGAAAACAAAGTAAAAAGTCTAATTTGCCCTCAAAAAACAAATTTGTCTTTCTCCTTTGACCTTCGCCCTCTCATCTCTATCTCCAAAACCATATTTGCACTGTGAATATTTTTGGATTCAAAAATTGATTTTCACTCAAAAATTGATTTGCACTCACTTTTTTTTAATTCAATTACATAAATCTCTGATTCCCAATTTCATCTCTATCTCGTCTTTAAAATCCAATTGCAGCTACCTGGAGCAAATCAAACACATGAGGCGGCACACTCCGTCTCGTCCTCAGACCTCAGCACAAACACTATCGATGTCGTCCTCCATGGAAGCTCTTCTGGATGTTGGCCCTCTCCGTCGAGGACGCATGAACCGAAAATAGTCATCGCTATCTGGATCGAAAACCCATACTTCTTTTGATTCTCCTTCCTCCTTTCTCAGTTCTCCAATCTATGTGCAGCGATAATATTGGTAGCAGCGAGATGGTTATGTAGTAGCTAACTTTGTCGTAATGTTTTTCTTGAGCTCAGGGGATGACGCTTGTAGGATGGGGATGGTTGGTATCGAAGGGGTGGGAGGATGACGCTTGTAGGTGGGAGATGGTTATGTAGCAACTAACATTGTCATTTTGCTCCTCACCTTGGTAAGAGTGCCAATTTCAAAGTGGACAAAAACTGGGAGACGAAGGGAGTATTTCACAAATTATATATGTAATGCCCCGAAAATAGGCATATCGGAATTAATCGATAATTATTGAGTTAGTGAGTTGAATCTAAACATAAGTGATTTATAAAGTTTGGTAATTAATTTGAAAAATTATAGAGTTGTATAGAGTTTGATTGTCTAATCGCAACGGTGCAATGAGATTTTAATTCGAAGAAAGTTAGACAAAAAAGTATACCCTGATTGAAACCATTTTAATCTAAATAGAGAAGAGACGTATAAAATTCTTCAGAAACGCACTTAGCCGCAAGGAATCGCCGATTGAAGATTGGCATGGTTGAGGCTTCATCCTCCATCTTCACCTATATAAGGGAGTCTTATTATCCCTCATTCTTGCACTATTCTCCCTCCTCTTTGTGTTCATGAGAGTGTGGAGAGCATAACGTAGTAGTTCTCTATTGTCGAAATTGCCGTGGTAGTCGCCGGAAATTTTGCAACAAAATTTGTATTATTGTTGTTTAAGCTCGAGGTGAGCCCCTAAATATATCTAATGATTAGAATGTTCATATAGATCATTTTTACATTCATAAATAGTCATTTGGTTGAATTATATGTTATTTCCTTCGTCCCAATTTATAGTGCTGGTTTCGGTTTATGATGTTTGATTGAAATTATTTTCAAATAATTTTATATGACAAATGGTATAAAGTTAAAAAATAAAAAATATATATTAAAATACTAAATCAAAAGATCTACAAAACTAGTGGTGACAATAGTACTTTATTTTATCAAATTGCTAACGAAAATAGAGATAGAAAGTGAATGAGGTTTGACCATGTGAATAGTGAACAAACATCATAATTTGGGACGGAAGGAGTAGAAAAGATCAAAATATGTTTTTCATGAATCAAGAATAAAAAACATTCAAATTGTTGTTAAAGTTTAGAATTACTTGTTTTAAAAATGATCTAGGGTGTTAGAGAACATTTTTATATAGTCAAATTAAAGTTTGGTATCTTAAAATGATATTTTAGAAGTTTGAGCTTGGGTTGAAGACACACTATGGTGCAAATTCTCGCACCAGTCGCAGAACGATCGATAGTTCCACAGTACGGTCGATCGTTTCACAAACAGTATTGTGTTATCAGTAACAGTCGATCACCGCACAACAACGATCGACTGTTGCAAGGCCAATAGTACAGTGGTAGTAACGGTCAACCGTCACAGGGTAACGGTCAACCATCACGGACTATTCTCCACTCGAAAATTTGATTTTACTACTTTTCAACTATAAATTAGTATTAATATTATTTCCAAATTAAATATTATGTTTTGATTAATTATAAAATCTTATTTGATGCATGACAGTAAACTAAGGATATTGAATCTGGACATGGAAACCACATATGCATCACTCCCGCAGAAATTTCAAATTCATCTTAATATTTTTTTGAAAGAGTAATGCTAGAGTCACAAACTAGTTGGACACAAATTACACGAACTTGTTATTTGTGTACTTTTCCAATGGAATAAAGTGATATTAAATACTTACAAAATGAAAATTGAAATACATGAATAGTAAGTTTATGTAATTTGTGTCCAAGTTGTATGTGACTCTAACATTACTCTTTTGTGATTCTAGCATTACTCTTTAGAAATATGGCCAAATAGCTCCGGTGGCCCCTGTGGTTTGAAAAATTGGCACCAAAACCCCATGTGTTTTCAAAACTTATTTCTAAAGTCCCTGTAGTTTCAAAACGTTGCACCCACACCCTCTCTAATCATTTTCCGGCGAAGAGGGGGCATTGGCGCATAATTTCTAAACCATAGGGGGCATTCATGCTCATTTCTTATTTTAGTTTATTATTTGTGTTTTCCTTTTTTTTTTAAATATTTTGTATCTCTTTTTCCTTTTCCTAAATTTTTTTAAAAAATGTATTTTCAATTTTTATAATGTTTTAAAAATTTTAAAATTCATTGTGTTTGAAATAAAAATAAAAATAAAAAATCAACATACATTACATATATCTCAAATTAAAACTTTTCACTTTTTTTTAGAATATTTTTTGGAAAGTTCGAAAAAACCCAGAGTAAAAAAATAAAAATACGGAAAAATGAAATGAAAAAAATTAAAATACGCAAAAAAAAAGTCTTATACAAAAAAATTTGGACACGCCTAAAAAAGTCCTTAGAATTGAGATGTCCAAAAAAGATATTCATTTTAATTTTTGTATTATTTTTTTCTTATTTTATTCCTATTTTTTTCAAATTTCTCAAAAAAAAATTCTTTTTTTTTCCAGAAAAAAATTGTTAATTTCAGACGTACATATGCATTATATTTTATTTTTTCAAACAAAAATAACTTTAAATATTAAGAATATTATTAAAAAAATTTAAAAAACCCTAAATAATAAATTAAACAAAAAAGAAAATGTAAAAAACAAAAGATAAACGAGAAATAAAAATCAGCACTGATACCCCCTATGGTTTAGAAAATATGCACCAATGCCCCCCTTCTTTGCCAGAAAAATGGCCGGAAAATAATCAGAGGGGGCATGGGTGCAGCATTTTGAAACCATATGAACTTTAGAAATAAGTTTTGCAGATAAAAGAGGTATTAGTGTCTGTTTTGCAAACCACGAGGGGTACGGACCCTATTTGGCCTTAGAAATATTCCCATATCACGACGTTCACGCGCTTCTAACGAGAGTGGTTCTCCAAGTGATTTAAAACGCATAATTCAAATGAGCATCTCTGTCGGCCCCTACCTACAAACCCAAAATTTTTGAAAAAGAAAAAAAGAAAAAGGAAACCCCATCACTTTCCCTCAGCGCTCTCCCAGCCCAACTCGCCGGCGAGCGGCTGAAATTGAAAACCTGAGATTCACCGACGCCGTCATTCTTCACCCTATCCATTTCCTCTCTATCTCTCTTACAGAGATCGGAGAAAAGGATAGTTTTGAGACGCACAAGGGTTACATCTAGGCGTTTTAGAAGAATATATTAATACACGCATCGATAGATTTTTGCAATGTCGGAGGATGATAAGTTGTTGAAGGAGGCGAAGAAGCTTCCGTGGGATGACCGGTTGCTGCACAAGAACTGGAAGGTGCGGAACGACGCCAACATCGACCTAGCTGCGGTGTTTGATTCCATCACCGATCCAAAGGACCCTCGTTTGCGTGAATTTGGTAAGTTTAGGGTTACGATTCCGTTTGATCTGTTTTTATCCAGACTTTGTTTTTATTCATGCGAATATTTGCATGCAATGTGGCGACATTTGCTGTTCTGGTCTTAATTTTCGAAAACATGGGATCATTTCAATTGTAGGACCGTTGTTTAAGAAGATGGTGTCTGATTCAAATGCGCCTGTTCAAGAGAAGGCACTTGATGCGCTGATTTCTTACTTGAAAGCAGCTGATGCTGATGCTGGAAGGTTATTTATGAATTAATTTATCAATGAGCCACGGGTAACTAAAGTGGCAATGCAAATGATATTGAAATGTTCTTGGCTTGACAGGTATGCCAAAGAAGTTTGCGATGCAATTGTGGCCAAGTGCTTGACGGGGAGGCCAAAGACTGTAGAGAAGGCACAGGCAATTTTCATGCTTTGGGTAGAGTTAGAGGCGGTGGAATCATTCCTGGTAATTATTATCAAGTGCTGTGATTTTTCCCTTCACAATTCTCATTGTGTAAAAGTTTTATGTGATGAAGTGTCTGACTGTTAATTGCATTAGTTTCATGCAATGAAGTTTCTAGAATCTTTGAAGAGGAGCTCAATTGGATTCCTAATATTTTTGTTCAAAAAGAGATTCTTAATCCTGTGCGAGTTTAGCTTTTCAACTAAGTTTTGACAACAATTTTTGATT